TATATGTATATATATATATAATATTATATATATATATATATAATACTGACGTAACTTTTATTAAGTATTACACCGCTTAATAACTTTATAATAAATGTAGATTTTATAAATTTAACCGTTATATTAAAAGTTTTTTACTCTTCGATCATATATACAAACTTTTATATTAATCAAAGATGATTTGATACTTCATTCTTATAAAACAAAAATAATGTAATATATACATCTCAAAATATACTAAAATGTGAACATTTTAATTATTTTCAAGTTATTTTTCAATTTTAACAAAATTTGATATAAACATATAAAATGATATGATCTTTCAATTTAACAATTAAATTTATAAAATTCTCATTTAATATAAAGTTATTGAACAGTGTAAAACTTGGTAAAAACTATACTGGTGTTATTATAATCCTTCTTATATATATACATTTATAATAAAAATAAACATTTTAAGTAAAAGATTAAAGTTTTAACATTTTAATATTTATACATTCTAATAAAAACATCAATGTTATAATGTTTTAAAAATTTTAAAATTCAAATATATATATCATCTAAATATCAAATATTACTGTCTTTAAAATTTAAAAGTTTAAATATATCAAATAAATATAAAAGTTTGTATCTTAAAAAAAATAAAATAAAACATTTTTTTGTTAAACATACTAATCCACATGTTTCAAAGATTAAGCTCATAAAGTCCGCAAACTTTATGAATAAAGCCTAAAATTTGATATATTTAGACGAATTTAAAAAAAAATACAGGTCTGAAATCTGCACGAGCTGCGTGCTTAATGAATCGGTCAATATACTTTGAAATTGGTCCCTAATCAGTACTGGTTAACTTAAAATATAACTAAACAATTCCCAATTTTAAGTTTAAACTATGTTACCATCACTATAATTACTTAAAATTATATTTATACTTACATACAAGTATTAGAGTTACAGTCAATAATTTTTATATTAATGTAGAGTTATTGAGTCATACTTATTTTTTTTAATTATTGAAATTTTTTTAAAATAATGTATTTAGTATATTTAATTTACAACTTATCATTAGTAAAAACTTTAATTTTTGAATGAATTAAAAATATTTATAATTTGTAAGACACTTCACATTCCACTAATTTAATGCAATATATATGTTATATTATCCTTGTTCTTATATATAAGACTAAAATGCTTAATTTACTAAGATTAAGAAAAATATGTACTACTTTTCTCTCTTAACCAATTAGAGTATATGTTGTATATTACTTTTCTCTCTAGTAATTAATATTATTTACTTTCTAAACTAGTTAAAATACATGTTCTAAAAAAATTTTACAATTAAGGTATTCATAAAATTGTGAAAACCTATTTTAATTAAAGGTATTTTAATCTAAAAAAATTAATACAACAAATATTATGAATTGAATCTTGTATAAAGAAACAAATAATTATTTTTGATTGAATCTTATAAATAGAAATGCAGGTAATATATTGTAAAGTTATATTCTTTTAATTATCGAGAGAATTTTAAATCATATATTTAATATATTTAAACTCCACTTATTCTAATAAATATTGATATTTCTTTGTCTTTTTAAAGTTCAATTACTTCACATTCTCTCACTTTTCTTGATATTTTTATCAATTTTTCTATTATACACACGTTCAAGAAAAATTTTGATAAAAATATAATTTATACACGCGCATATAAACATACACATATTATATAACTTTTTAATGCATGAGCTAATGCAAAGCAATATTTAAACCTCTAGTAACAAAGAGTTAGTGTGACAAGTAATAATTAAAGACGATTATAAAATTCTTTTTAATTTGACTTTTATACATTAAACACTTTTTCACGTAATTGTTAGGCAAGTAACTCATATACTCACTTAATAGTTTTGTATAATGGAAAGATTTATATAAGTTCTATGGTTGTAATAATTTTTTTTTAATAAATTTTAATCTTTCAAAATTGATTGACTATATTTTGTAAATTTAATCATCAAATGAATTTGTAAATTACTTACACCTAAAAAAAACTTATTTTCTTACAAACTTAATTAAATTTTAATGGATATTTGGAATGCATAATTCATAAGATCAACTAAATATAAATCTTTTTACACAATTTTATTCTTTAGTAATTGATAGTGAAAATATTTAATTAAACATAAATAATAATAAAAATAATTTAAATTTTATTATTTTCTCTCTCTATATATATTTATCATTACACAAAATATTAATTTCAAAATAAAGTTTTTCCGTACATCACACGTTGAGTCAAAATCTAATAAAATTAAAATTAAAAATATAATTTATATTAAATATTAATCGTTACATTATTAATTAAGTGTTAAAACTAAAATTATAAATTTTATGAAATTGAAACACCAAAATTCTGAATTAAATATTATATATAAAAGACAAAAATATAACCAGACCTATTCTTAATCTTAATAAAATTGTTTATTATTACCCATTTACTTATGCATAAAATTTAATTTAACTTAATTAGAATCATTCTTGGTAAACCTGAAAAAATAGCATGCAAAAGAAAAAAATACTAGTATTTATTTGTGTTGTGACGTGCGAGATTACTTTTTCAGTTTTTCAAGAAAAGCACAAGTTGGAAGACACACAGACCCACCACAAGCCACAGAATCAAAGGCCTCTCTCTTCTTCTTCTCTGTTTTCTCTTCTTTACTTCTTTTTCTGATAAAACTGTCATCAACCCCCTTCTCTTATCACTCTCTCCCCTTCCTAATTTTATTTTTTTCCCTTGCAAATATACATATAATATATTATATTTGATATGTGTTGAGGGCATATTTGCTTGAAGAGCTGAAACATATTATTGTCGTGATCGTTTGAATCTATGGAACAGCTTGTCAACTTCATCATCCGGCCACCAAGGTATCGAATTTTCTCCTTCCCACCCTCAAATCCGATTACTTGAAACACCTTTCTGAATCAAAATATTCTCTTTTTCATTTTTATGATTTTTTTTTTCAAAATTCCCAGATGGGTATCTGCTTGTGATTGGTGTTGTTCAGTTGGAATAGGAAGGAATTCAATTTAAATTTTTGTTTTTTTAGTATTTGCAAACACCCAACCCAGTTTGGGTTGGCGCAATTGAATTTTTGTTTTGCTGTGAATCTCCTCGAGTCCTCTTTTTTCCAAAGGGAAAAATTAGAGCAGATGCAAGTAGATTCAGAATTTTATTCCCTTGGCCTCTTTTTCAAAAGCATGTATTTTTTGGGAGCTTTGACATCATGTTAATTTGGCTTACTGTTTGTTTGGTTGGAAAATTGAGATCTGTTTTTAAGCTACCCCGGGGAAGTTCTGTAACCTGTTATTCAGGTGTTAAATTTCCATTCTTCCAACAAAATAAGGTCTTATTTAAACAAATATTCAATTTGTTATTGCTTTTTGAATTTTTGTATTCTGAAAGTGAGATCCATAAAGTTTATTCTCCCCAAAAAAGAGATCGAAAAGGAATGGAGACATGGTTTGTATTTGTACGTATGTATGCCAAGAGTTATAATGAAAAGGTGACTCTTTTGAATTTTGAGGTATTAGTGGAGCCTTGAGACAGCATTATGCATGTTATACACTTGTTTGCAGTATGCCAGTCACATAATAGCTACAAACTTGTACTTCAAGTCATCTCTCTACAGTTACGGACTTTAAGATTAATTTACTTGCATTATGTACGGCCTAAATAATTTATTTGCACTATTATATTTCAAATTCAACTTCAACTTTAATTGTTGTGGTCACATTTTTTTTCATTTGGATGCAGAGCTGAATATGACCCTCAAAGTGATTTGTTGGATCAGGAGTTCATGCTGAAAGGGAAATGGTATCATAGGAAGGATGTAGAGGTAAGCTTTTAAAAGTATAATTCAGTGCATTACCAAAATTGTTTTCAGCATTGGCTATGTAGAAATGCATTCAAAGATGATTTTTATCTTAAAATCAAAGCTCTATTTTAGAAGAATTATTTTTCAACTGAGCTTGTATCTTTTGTCTAGAATACTTCTAGGTGACTTTCATATGTAAAGTGTATGTATGTGTCCTTCTAAAACTTCTTCTCTTGTTGATTTCACCTTCTCCCCATCATAAGCAATTTTTTTTTCTTTTTAAATTAAGTCATGCTTTATCTAAATTTGTTGACAACCTGCATGGTTAGCCACTTAGCCTGTGTCATGTAAGATTTGATATTCTGCAGATAAAAAACAGCCGGGGTGATGTTCTTCAATGCAGCCATTACATGCCTATAGTCACTCCTGAAGGAAAGCCTCTGCCGTGTGTAATATATTGTCATGGAAACAGGTGATTGTAGGATGCTACTTTTTTAGGTTGGCAAGCAGGGTGGGTGTTGTTTGAAAAAGTTCCACTGAAACTATAGAAGTTTTCTTCTGGAATTTTTAGACTCTTCTGTCAAGATCATGTTTTCTTTTTATTTTCTTTCCCCTATTTTTCACTATAAAAAATGCCTGTATAAAATCACTTGGTCTGCTAATGACTTAATTCATTTAGTGTTATAAATTTGACAAGGTGATTATTGAGCTTTTTAACCTTCCAGGGGTGATTTTTTTTTGAAAATTCCCAAAATGGGCAAGTTTTTAAAATAATTGGGAAATAGGGTAAGTCGTGTTTGTGAATCATGACTTTTTAAAATGAAAGTCCTGTAAAGTTGTGTTTCACAAACACTTTCACTTTTTTTTTGTTTTAATAAAAAAATAAAGTTGTGTTTCAAAATCATGATTTCCTTTTTTTATTTATTTTAATTTTATGTTAAAATAGTATTATTTTAATATAAAAAAAACTAAAACAAGGCAAGTCGTGCTTTCAACCACGACTTTGCCATTTTTATAATATTAAAATAATGTAAGTCGTGTTTAACGCAATTTACCCATTTCTGGAATTTTCTTAAAACTACCGGTTTTGAGAGTTATTGAAAAAAACTACCCCTCTAACATAAAAAAGCTGTGATTGTTGTATAGGTTTTGCTGTACTTTATAATGGTAATTTTATAATTTTGATTATTTAATTTTTGACTGACAAAAATATATTCAATTCATTCTTTGTGCATATGAAAAGATATCATAGATGATCTGACATAAAATTAAAAGAAAAGAAGTGATGAATATGGCATTTAATTATGCTAATATAGTTAACTAGGTTCTGATATGGTAGAAACAAAAATTTAACTTCAATATAGCTCCCTTTTGTTTTCTTATTCTGAGTTTTAAGCATAAATTCTGAAAAGAAGATTTACACTTGTATCTTTAATTATGAAATTTAAATACTCATAAATTTTTATGTCCTCTACGATGTTCTTTACTGTTGTATGTTCTATGAAGCACCGATATTTGCATTTGCTTGATGTATCACAGATACCTATCCGATATTGATATCACTGGTACTTCAATGATATGTATTGAGGAAGTATCCAAAACAAAATGTTATGAAAATCTAATACATTCATATGAGACATAGAAGGTGTAAGATAAAAAATAGAAGCATTGTCTTTTCATGAACCAAAAATGGAAGGTGTCTTTTTTTTTTAATGAACGAGGCTCAATAAGGGAATTATGTCAAAGAAGTGTGCTCTTAATTTGAATTCATAGAATTGAAATTATATATTTATTATGATTTATGAATTATCCTAATATTTATATATGTATCTTCAATGAATCATATCCCATATATTTTAAGAATAGTTGTATTACCACATTAGATATTTAACTAACACACAGGTCATATATGTGTACCAGTGTATGTATGGTGTGCATAGTTTATAGATTTCAATTTTATAGGGCTGTGCTGACTGGGTGAAATGATTGTATGACAGTGGATGCAGGGCTGATGGTAGTGAAGCAGCTATAATTTTACTTCCCTCAAATATTACAGTTTTTACTCTGGATTTCTCAGGATCTGGAATTTCTGGAGGGGAGCATGTCACTCTTGGCTGGAATGAAGTTAGTCCTTTATGAATAACCTTTTAAAAAATATCATATTTAGTTTTTTCATTATTGATATCGTTTAGTCTTTTTACTGTGTCATTTATCCAGTCTTGTGGAGAGCAATAATTTTTCTCTATCAATTTTCACAATTATTAGTACAAGTAAACGTGAAAGGACATTAAATGAAAGAGATATTTGACAAGTTGAAAGTTCCTTTCATTCTGTGGTCTTGCATGCAGATGGGACAAAATACACATTAGTAGACCTCATCCAAAGATAGCTTCAAGAACTTGTTGCATACTGTTATTTTTCTGAATTCACGCCAAAATTATTAGTCGAAATTAGGTTCAGTAATATTTTTGAGTACTATGCCTATATCATCAGTGGAAAATGATAAACTTATCATATGCATGGGGAGGGCAATTATCTTTTATCTCAGTAGAACTAAATGCTTTGGGTTTTTCCTTTGCTGGGAGTTTGCGTAAACATTTCTACTATTTCCTTTGTTGTCATTCTTCGGTATGAAATGATTGTTTGCTTGATATTGTTGACTATTCTCAGAAGGATGATCTGAGGGCTGTGGTCAACTATCTGCGGGATGATGGAAATGTCTCATTGATTGGCTTGTGGGGTCGCTCTATGGGAGCTGTAACTAGGTAGGTTTTCATCATCCTCTTTTTGCTTTCAACTTGCATTTGGGATGAGGTTTAGAAAAGGAGCTGTGTAGTACTGTAGCAAGAAATTGTAATTTGTTCATAATTACTCCGTTCTTGCCGTAAATTGCAACTAAGAAAATTTCACTAATTAGGAGAGAGTACTTAAAATTTAGCTATGCATATGACTTTTCTCTGTACAATTAATGATTTTATTACTTGCAGCCTTATGTATGGAGCCGAGGATCCTTCAATTGCAGGGATGGTTTTAGACAGTCCCTTTTCTGATTTGGTGGATTTAATGATGGAACTCGTAGATACATATAAAGTTCGTCTGCCAAAATTCACTGTGAGTATATTATGTTACTTTTGGAGTGAAAATGAGAATATCTTTTACAGAGAACTAATCTATCTAAATTTTGAATTTTATAGTCTCGATATTTTGTTGCTATTTACGTGGAGGTTATTAGAAAGATTTTCAGTATGGCATGTGACATGATATAAAGAAGTTGATTTGAGATGGAATTTTAATGCCATTGAACTTCCCTTTGTATCCATTCTGAAATTTAATAATAGCTCTTCATGATGTGACCAAAATATTGTTATGAATCTTATGATCATTGAAGTCTTAACACATCCCCTCACACTCAAGACAAAAATTTGGGGGTGTGAAGGGACTGGAAATTGTAGTTGGCCCAGCCTTATAAGGAGTATTTTGGTCATCTTTGTAGTCATTGTAGGACATTTTAACACTTGTAATAAATAATTTAAATGCGTTATATATCTGAATAACTCCTGAATTAATGCTATCATTTGTTTTGTTCTTATCATAAGTGTAAATTCTCAGTGCTACCAGTTAATGTAATGTAGATTTTGTTTCATTTTTCTGTTACAGGTGAAGTTTGCAATCCAGTACATGCGTAGAGCAATCCAAAAGAAGGCAAAATTTGACATAACGGACCTCAATACCATTAAGGTTGTTTATCCTTTTATTATGGTTGTTATTGTTTATTTAAATTTTATTTTGTAATAGTAGTTTTTTAATGTAAGAAATCACTATTACCTTATTGATTAGTTTGACAGAAAAAAAAAGGATTTGCTTTTCTCATTATTTTTCAATAAGTTAAAATTTCCATCAGTACCTGAGTATAATTAACAAACATTTAATATTTTGTAGCTTGAATATTTTCTTTTGCTGGCAATAGCACACACTTGTTAATCAGTCAGTCATATAAATCTCCAAGTGTATACATAATATAGTCTGTAATTCATAAATATATTGCTGAAAAATTCTGGTTAAGTTTCTTGTAAATTAAATTGATTAATTGTTATGATCACAGGTGAATGAAATTCTGCTAGTGAATAAATTAAATTGTTAGTCTGATTCAACTAGTTAAAAAGAAGATATGTAATTTGAAGGATTTATTTTGGTAATAAGTGCACTGTTTCTACATCTTCTGATTGTCCGTCCATCTTACTTTTAAATTGCTGAACCCAAGATTTGGAGAAATCTAATCAGAATCAGCTTAAAGAGCATATTTTCAAAATTTTGGGTGCTTATGGCTAAACTTGTGGAACACAGTACAGTTGATTGAATAACGGCTCAGGACTATAATTTGTGTATGGATTTCTGTTGGAAACCTCCAAACAGAAATCCTAACACCCTAGGTGTTTGCAGATTTTTGTCTAGATGATGATGCAAAACAATCGTAATGAAAATAATGTCGACAATTGTTTTGTTGTCATCTGGAGCATACATGTCTTTGTGTGGCATTCAAAAGAGTAAAAATCTCTAGAAAGCAAATATTAGGAGTTGAATGCAAATTTTATTGAAAATGTTTGTGGGAAAAAACAATAAAAATGTATGGCTATTGTTTTTACTCATTTTTACATTCTCCATCAAATACCTTCATTATTTGTTTGCATTGCAGGTGGCAAAATCTTGTTTTGTTCCAGCTCTACTAGGGCATGCCATTGATGATGATTTTATACAGCCCCATCACTCTGATAGGATATTTGAGGCTTACATGGTATGTCCAAGAATTTTGCCCCCTTCTAAATTACATACTGATTTACATAACCGTGCTGTTGGGCGTATTTGTTTCAACTTTGTTTTTGGGAAATGATTTTTTTACCAGCTTCCTAAGAGTATTTTTAAAAATAAGTGATTATTTCTTCAAAATTAATCTCAACCAAACATCTATTAACTCCTTGTTTTATTTTATGTGCCTTTAGAACATGCTTGATGTTTTTGAATTTTAAATGTCTTCCAGATGTTTAAACTTGCTTAGACAGGATGCATTTGGGGTCGCCTATCTTCTAATTATAATCTATAATATATGCTATTGCATTTGTGCGCTCCTTGTTTTATCTTAAAGGAAGTTTCCATATCCTGTTATTTGGATCTTTACTATTGGTGCTGTCCATGCTTTGTAGGGAGACAAAAACATAATTAAGTTTGAGGGAGATCACAATTCTCCACGTCCTCAGTTTTACTTTGATTCCATAAACATCTTTTTTCACAATGTTTTGCAACCTCCAGAAGATGAGGTTGGGGAATCATTTTTTGACTCCGTGAGTGATTACTTTGGTAAGGTAAAATCAGCAATGCACCTCGTTGGTTCCACTTTGATCGAATTGCAATGGTCCATCTTTGAAAATTGTCTGTCTTTCCCCAGGATGTTTGGACATCTGTGCATGAATTAGGCTACAACAATGAATCATCATCTAAAAGCAAAGGCATGACTCGAGTAACTAGTTTGTCTTAACTATTTCTTCTACATTGGTTTGTATGAAGATCTGCACTTGGTACTTTCTTTTTTTACAAATATCTTACTTGTTTCTTTGTTAGATGCAGAACCATCAACAAGCAGTACGATAGATGCCATTAAGGAGGTCCGTCCAAGACGACCAATGAGTAGGATGGAGGTTTGTATATATTAGCTCTTAATTTACTGTTAGAATAGCATTCAAAAAAGGTATGGCTGAGGAAATGAACCCTGTATTTTAATAAGGTTAAAATATAATTTTTGTCATGTGACATTCATTTTTAATTATTCTTATATGAAACAGATTTTTAATTTAGTCCTTGTACATATAATTGTTTTCAATTTGGTCTTTACCTTTTGTTGGAGTTATAATGAACTGAAGTGCAAATATCATGTACAGACACCGGAAATTTATATCCTTTGTATCCATACACGTGATAATAATTTTTTATTTGGCACAAACTTGATGTGTTTTGACGGCCATAGGTGACAGTGGCATCTTTGAAAATAATTGTTCATATTAGGAATAAATTGATTTTTATTTTATTTTTATAGGAACCAAATTGAAAATGAGTATCATGCATGAGGACAAAAATATATTTTAACCATTAAAAAATAAGATGACATTAAGATTGCATGGTCATTAATTGAAATTTTTGCGAGACAGAAAGACAACATTAATATTAAGGTCCACCATATGTAGGGCGCATTAATTTCATTTTTGTGCCATTCTCTCATAGCATGACATTATGATGCTCTTACTAGCATTAGAGGATTCTGATCCTAAATATTTTTGCTCAAGAGTACTTCGTGTCAATATCAAACTTAGATGATTGCATTTTTCAAGCATTAGGGGACCGTGTCTTATGTGGGTTGCTAAAATCTGTGTATTAATACCTGTCAAATGCTTTTGCATGGCCAGCAAAGATGTGGCAGTTTGAGCTATACGATGATTTCAATTTTGTTTAAATTCTTTAATTGGCATGAATTTTATTTTTTTGATGTAATATACTGTATGTCTTTCTCAGGTTCCATCCGATATTTCTTCAAAAGATGAACATCACGAACACAAGGTATCTTTTCATATTTTTTTCCCTGTTGTATTGAAATTTTTTCCCCATTCTTCACATGCATTGTATTCTTCTTCCTTTTTCTGTACCTTATTTGCATGAATGGCTATAGTACATTTATAGTCCAGGATAAGATTGAGCTATCACACCCCAATTAGAACATTGGTTGGTGGTAACAAAGTTAGTATCTAAAGTCTAAACTACCAAAACTGGGGTACGGACAGAAAGGAAAGGGTCGTTTGCATTTATTATATTCTCCTTGTTCCATCCTTTTAGTGGAAGTGGAATTAAAGTACTTTTTCAACCTTATGTCCACTTCTGTTCTATTTCTAAAGTACACCAAAGATTGAACAAAATACAAACTTCATGTTCCTCTAGTCTCTAGTTCTAACCTACGCAACAAACGCAACTTACATGCTGTAATTTTTCTTTTTACGCATTCTAGTGTATGAGCTACTTAGGCAGATCCAATACATTAGCTTCAAGGATGAAATTTTATTCAAATTCAAATATCTACCACTAGTGGTAATGAAATAATAAATAAGCAAGAAAGAAGTATAATCAAAGGGAAGAGGGTACCAAAAACACATAATATCTACCTTTAGTCTCACATTTTTGCATGATATTCTTGCAAAGCAGGAGAAGGAGAAGTGTGACAATCTTTCCCAATCGTCATCGTCAATGATAAGCTTTGAATTGTCAAATGGTGATCCCTATGGCCCCCATGTTCCAGCCACATTGGAAGATGATCAGTACGTTGAATATCAACTAGATGACCTTGCAGGTTTTCCATCAACTGCAGAGGAGGAAGAAAGAGTGAGTCAACTTGGTGACTTTTACATAATCTACGGTTATGTTGGACAAGCATCTTATGGGGGGAAAAATAAGTTAAAAAAAGTCTCTTTTATATGTTAAAATTAACTTGTGTACTAAACTTTTATAGAAACTCTTTCATCCAACTTCCTTAAAAGCTAAGGTACATAATATGATTTTAACTTATGGAAGAAACTCAATTCATTTTTTCTTCTTGTTTTCTTTACCTATAAGTGTTTATGGAGAAATTTATCCAAATTAAACCTAAATGCCTAATGACATAAATGCAGTGATGAACATTTTGTATTTTATTTACTTTTGATTTGTCCATGCTATTCAGATGTTAATGGAAGCCGTGATGGAGTCACTGAAGGACCTGGAAGTACAGAATCCTCACACGGAACAACCAACAAGCAGTAGTGTTAGTACCATGTCTGTAGCTGTAGAGTCATCAGATAAAGATGCTTCTTCGAAGGAGATTTCAAGATCTATGGAGACAGAATCTTCCTCACTCAAAGACACCACATATTCAAAATCTAAAACCACTTCCTCTGCATCAGAAGAATGCGAGCCATTGAACGGTGGGTCAAATTCCATTTCAGTGAACCATTCCCAAAGTTTGGTTTCCGAGCCAAGTCCAGTACCTAGTCTTTCGTTAGAAGCACCGCAGTTGCAATTGCAGCCACAACTACCACCGCCAATGGCACCTGCAGACGCATCATCGGTAACTGAGTCCAGCAATACAAGTGGTTCTGCTCGTAGCGATAGTTCTGCTAGTTTCCAAAGTTCATCCGAGACTGACATATCACACAATACTAAAGCCACAGTAACTGTTGTTAGGAATCCCGCAGGCCATGTGATGGACGGCTTAATTCGTCGTTGGGATTTCAATTTTTTCAAAAATAAATAGTCACAACCGATGATCAGATGAGAGATTCTCATTTATACATTGTTTTTGTAACTAAAAAAAATTCATAGTTTGTACCAAAGAAATAGGTTGCTCGTGTGTAAAGTTAGTATGCTTAGATTCTCAACTAACAACATCCAATATTCTTTGACTGTAAGTGAGAATTGTCATATTTTATTTTGTTTATTATGAATTTAAATGGGAAAAACAATTTCTACACCTTGTATCTCATCATTTGAACAATGGTTCTGTATGTTCTCGTCTTTCGTTACCAGTATTTGCTGAAGCTTTATACATGACGCACCTAACAAGATGTGATTACGATGGCATTTTCTCAACTATAAAGCATGCCATGCTTGTACTTTTATCCTACCACTACGCAGTGTGGATTCGCATGCAATTTGTTTGGTCTTGTGTTTGTATTATTATTTATTAATTCTAGTACTTTTTTAGAGTAAATATCATTCTATTCGACTTTAGACTCTATCGTTCTAAAATGTAGACGTAAAATGGAGCCTTCAAATATAAAGTTATAACTTAATACTATCTTTTTAGAACTAATAGAAATTGAAGCAGGAGCCCGGAAGCACATCGTATCAGAAGGAAAATGTCAATAATTTATTTCAAGCATAACATTGAATCTTGAAAATTAATGAATAAATTGAGTTAGGCCAAGCTTTTCAGCCGCAGCAAACATGTCTGTCTTTAGTTTTATCCACACACATGCAACATTAGTGTCTTCATGTCAACTTGATATCTGATTTCGTATTATGGTCAATAGTTTACCTATCTTCCATCAAATTCAATGCCGTCTCAACCAATGACTGAGTTGTTATAGTGTGCCGGTTAAGTCCAACAGTGCCAGAGAAAACATTAAAGCTTTCAAGCTCTGATGTTGTCTCTAAGACACCCTCCAACACCTCCTCCATTCCCAGAACCTTGAAGGTATCGATGTTTTCTGCTTTGTCTTTCATCATCCAAATAGCCAGCTCTATAACGAACCTCCTTATCCTTGGAACCTTAGTTGGGGGATACTCGTGTTTCTTGAGAATCTGAATTAATTTATTTGCAAGTTCAGCCTCGGTGGTTCCTGCTTCTTCAAATACGTTGCTCGATTCATGAGAAGTCATATATCTGAAAACGTTTGCTGCTAGTCCAACCATCACTTCTTGTATCTTGTTTTCTTCTGACATGATCGCCCGAAGTATCTGCAGGATTGACAAATGATAAGAAAAAGATCAAGATTGTTTTTCATCTGTGTAATTTTTACGGGATAGAAACATAATACAAAGGCTCTGCTTGACTTTAACTTTTTTCCGTATGTTAAAATCAACTTGAACACTTCATTTTTTGTAGAAGTTGTCTTTTCCAAGTTACCTAAAAGCTGTAATGTAGAAATTAATTTTAACTTGCCGAAAAAAAAATGATTTATGAAGAAGTTTATCCAAACAATGATAAAACTCACGCCAGATTGCTAGTAGCTCAAAGTAATTATGGTTAGAGTAACACTTACTATGGGTGCTGCAGCTGTTACCCTTTTTAGTTGGTTGAACCATTCTGATCCACTGTAGGTGCACAAATTTCTTAGAATTCTAGCTGCATTGACACGAAGCAATGGATCTTTCAATGCTTCTACAAGCCTTTCTAGTACTTTCAACTTCAAAATTCGATGGCAGTTACTCTTGCTTTCTAAAGCCAGCATTGCCAGGGCCTCACCAGCAACAATTGTTACATGTTTCTGATTTTCTGGTATGTGGTGTTTGAAAAAAATGTTGAACAATTCTTTTAGCACTCCACCTGTACCCCCTATTCTTTCCGTTGCATCCTCTTCCAATGCCAGACTAGTCAAAATTTCTATGCTTAATTTCTGTAAAAGGGGATGCTTATCTCCATGCCTTAAAATATCTCTAATATTGCTGATGGTGAAAACTATCTCCGAAATCTCTCTTCTAAGATGTTTCCCAGTTGTGCCAACAGTGCTAGCCAGCATCTTCACAAGCTGCAAAGACCTCTTCACTGTCAGAACCTGGGATGGAGTAACATTTTCACTCTTCAGCAACCACTCTTCCGCATGTGTGAAATCTATGATCTTTGGGAGAAGCCCCCTTGTGTTTCCAATCTTTCCACAGTTGTCGAGGTCACGTGCAAGTTTTTTCAGTATGAGGAGTCCCAAGTGGTTAAAAGTCCAGAACCCATAATTTGGGTGATCAAACACAAGTTTCTTTTCTCCAATCTCATCAGCTGCAGGAATCACACTCCTATTAGTTTGTAGAAGAGATGATATTGATTCCATAGCTCCTGGTATCCCAGATATTCGGAGAGAGTTCTGCTTCTTGCCAGCCAGTTTGGACAAAATCTCAGCAGCTGAGAGCCTAATCTCTTCCTCCTTGGGGTCTGTCCAATTCAACATCTCAACTAGTCTCTCCACCACTAATATGTCAATTCCAATCTTTTGAAGGGTGTCATCAGAAAATCTTTCACTGATTGAAAACTGCCTAAGAATTCTTGCTCCTATAAGCTCCTCATCAGGGGAGTTCGAAGCCAACAAGTCCATGGAAAAACTCACCATATCCATTTTCAAGCCATCAAATATGCTTCCATTGACACATCTAGAATAGGCATCATAGAAAAACCTTCTAGTGGACACCATTCCTGATGGCCCCAACTCACTCTCCTTGTTAACCTCTTCCAAAAGTTTACAAAAGCTAACTTGCCATTCCCAATAGGCCTTTTCCATCAGAAACAACAAGGCTTCAGCAAGAGCCAAGGCATAGAAAATAGAGAGAGCGGATTGGCGGTTCCTCTTGTCAGTGTCTCCCTTTGCCACCTCTCCATAGTCATGCCTGACGAGCTTTATCAAAGAGAGAACCACACAAGCCGTAGCAGAAAGAAGCTGAAGCCAATAGAGGAGCCTACTAACATGCCTTGAAAGGAAGAACCATTTAGCATATGGTAGGAGTGGAACATCTGAACTTAGCCACATCCTTGACGGTGTCCTTGTTGGGGTGGAATTAGCATTAGTATCTTTGAAGTTGTACTGAGGGGTTAGAACTACCTCAGTGATGGACCACGTGGCTTGGTGCTGCCATTCAAGTTCGTGGCTCCTGCTTTCTGAAAATTCTGGTTCCTTCAACTACAAGTATGATGGTGATGAACCAAAAATCGGTTTTTTCTAAGGTGATGGCGAAACCGCCTAGGAGGACAACGGTTGCCCAAATGAAACCGAGAGTTCCCAAACCGGTTGCTGCTTTTTCAAGCACTGCAAGCTGAAGAGCGAAAAGGGTGAGCTTCTTTTCTGGAGCTGAGGTTGTTGAAGAGACGGAATTGGCATTGGTAGTGCTGTCATTACTGTCCAACTTGTCAATGCTGCTGAGGCCACGAGGCTCGAACATGGTGTTGCCTATGCTTATGGCTTCGCTCAGCCTCATCCTTTGGAGTTCATCTACTTGTACATGAATGCTTCCCTCTCCTTCCATTGTAAGTAACAAGTCCTAAACTAGCTTTGCAATGCAATGAAACTGTATATAGTAATATAATATCCGTTGAAGGTTGTTGAAGTGAATTGTGAGCAGAAAGATGAGTTTTATACTTAAGCATGAGAATGGAAAGCTTTGGGGGCACGTTTGAGGTGAGGCAGTGGTGGCATGATGGGGAAAGGGTAACTTGAAGCTTTTCTTTCCGCCGATTTTCGAACAAGTCCCTTCACCGCTAACTTGTCCAAAGGGTTAACTTCCATGTCTCTCTTATAAAACTTACTTTCTTATATTTCCTCAAAGTTTATCGCTAGAATTAGAATTTAGAAATTTATAAACTTTATCTTTTACTTTTTATAATTAAAAAATATTTTATTTTATTTTAGTTTATATATAAAATAAACGATTTTTGTTTTTAGGGTAAATTTTATGTAAATGAACTAAAAAAAGTTAAAATGATATATAAAAAACTAAAATAAAATATTTTTAATTATAAGACTAACAGATAAAATTTATAAAATTATAAGAAAAAATAACTTAACTATTTAGAAATATGATCAAACTTTAGTGTATCAAGTTCTAGCTATACGAAGGTACTGTTGGACTCACTACTTTTTACTTTTATTTGTGTTGGGATACAAACAAGTCTCATATCGATAAAATAAAACAAGAAATAATATACTTCAATGATTGAGAGGCCTTTTGGGTGATGACCAAAAGCAAAACCGTGAGGGCTTAGGTCCAAAGCGGACAATATTTCATCATTGTGCAGTATGTTTGTGTAATAACCTTATAAAAATAACTCTCATAAAATATTCCCTCAGACAAATACCATAAAATAACTTCATCAATGATATCAGAGTCACAGGTTGAATTCGGTGACAACCAATAACTTCCATAAAAACTCATAATATATAATGTGTATATAAAGACAGATTCCGCTGCATGAAAGGTTAGGTCCCTTGTTTGAGGTGAGGATTGTTGGGATACAAACAAGTCTCACATCGATAAAATAAAACAAGAAATAACAACTTATATAATATAAACATACTTCAATGATTGAGAGGCCTTTTGGATGATGACCAAAAATAAAACTGTGAGGGCTTAGATCCAAAGCGGACAATATCTCATCATTGTAGAGTATGTTTGTGTAATAATTTTATAAAAAATAACTATCATAAAATATCCTCTCAAACAAATATCATAAAATAACTCCATCAATTTGTACGGTGTTTGTTTACGTATTTTGGGAGAGAATAAGATGACAGGGACTAAAATTTGTTTACGTATTTTGGGAGAGAATAAGATGACAGGGACTAAAATAGAATAGAAAATGGAATATTCAGTAATTTCGTTAGTACTGAAATTGGAACACGGAAAGGTGGTAAAAATGGGGTATTTTTCTCTCAAAGAGAGTGATGATACAATTTCCTTCTCAAAATGGGTAGTTTTTAAGATAGGAGATATATACACATATATATATATATTAAAAATTTCATATAAAAACTAAAATTTATTTCTTAAACTACTTTTAATAATATTTATTGAAAATAACAATCATATTTAATTTAAAAATATCTTTTAAAAATGATAGCAATAAATAAAGTTAAGTTAGTTAGAACTTGTTTATATTTAAGTTTATAAATTTTAGATATTTTTTTTTTGTTTATATATAAAAGAGGGAATACTTGTGTTTAATAATGATAAGCTGAGCAAATAGTTAATACCTGCATTTTAATAATCTTTTTAATTTAAATCAATAGAAATTGTATTTATCATATATTTGACGTTTTAAAAGTAAATTGATTAGAGATAAATTGAGGAAAATGAAGAAAAGAAGAAGAGTTTTTATATAAAAAAAAATATATTGAAAAGGATGAATCCATATCTCAACCCAAAATCGCTGGCATGAGATGAATTAATGAAATTATTGACAAAATGATGAGTAGTTTGCCACCTAATGATCTTATCAGGAAACATTTGCGGGACAAAGCATGATAGCTTATAGACATATACAAGTTTCTGTTCAGCTTATTATTATGATTATATACTAGTAATTGGCATTTGACTCTTTCCTATGTGAGTCTCTTCCTTTCAAGAAACCTAATCTAATGCGCGTTGACTAGCATTTTGTTAATAAATTTCTTGTTTGTGGATTGTAAGTTGCAAGACACCCTTCCGTGCATAAACCTTGGAGTATACGGATGGATATATGATGTCATCCAAACTAAAAATAAAAAAAGATAAAATTTTTAAAGTATTGTATTATAAGTGTTTTTTTATATTATCTTTTCAATAAAACTAGAATTTAATTTCCATAATTGTATTGTGAAGATTGACATTAAAAATATGTGCAAAGTATTAAAATAAAATTGTTTTTTAAATTAAAATAATATAAAAAATATGTCTATAATATTATACTCAAGTTTTGTCATGGCTTTGTTCTGATTGATTAATTATATTATTGCTCATGCGTGCACCTCATCAATTCTTCCATTTTCTTTTCGGGAAAGTTACCCGCTTACAAAGTTCCAGGATGCGTCAAAAAGTGGAAGAAAATGACAGCAGAAAGAGAGGGGAAAAAAAGGAAAGCAAAAAAGAGGAGAAAATAAATAGATAAAAATCACACATTTAACATTTTCACTCTGATTGGTCAATGAAAAAATAAGAATAATAAAAATAAATGAATAAACTACTACTTTTATCTTTAAAGTTGGTAAGCATCTGACAGTTCTTTTATACTATTGTAGTATTGTTAACATTTGTGCCTACATGTTATTTGCATAATGATGTACACGTAGATAACACGAGATGGTCCGGTTAACAGAACTAAAATAAATGTTTTTTACTTTATCAAGATTTGTAACATCACGACATATATTACATTCAACTTAAACCTTAAATTTAACTACTTATTATTGTATTTAGTTTCTAAGTATACTTAAAATTTGTTAATTAAGTCAATGTTACGTGTAAATTATATCTGTACATTACCTTGTGTGTTAGATAAGAAGTTGTAGCCATGTTTGTAATCCCCAAAATCTTCATGAAACAAGGTAAGGCATTAACAATGACATCGTTCTCCCATGGTTGTAATCAATGATGGTTTTGGCTTGGTATGGCAGTGTGGTGGTTTAGGGATTGCATGGCTGGTTTTGTGAGTCATGGTGTTGCATCATGGAGCTTGGTTTTGAGAAAACATTGGTAGTTTACTCAAAATAAAAAGATGTGTAATTTAGATGAATAAAAATAAAAGAAATTAAAAAAAGTGTACATGCACCACAATGCCAAATAAAATTTGTATTTGCTGAGTTTGCTCGAGACCAATTCCAGTTTCTAATTAATCTTCAGAGACAGAGACATTACAAAGAAGGAACAAATTATTTGACTACAACAAGAAGCCAGTGGGTTATAAAATACAATATCATTGTTATGGATGATGCCCAAAATATGAAGGGAAGGTAATATCAACGGCTTACATTCTGCAAAATATAACAGCACAAACATGTAGCAGCAATTGCACTGCCTTCATTTCATGCTTTCTGATCTTTCGTTCTCTGTTATTAACGAACTAGAGAGTAAGAGTATCGTAATTGGACCACGTGGAACCTTCCACACTTTAAATTGATGAAGCAAATTGCAAGATCTAATAGAACATCAGCTAAGGGTTTAGGGTTTAGGGTTTAGACAATTGATCTGGGTTTCATGTGGGACAAGCGACCCTTGTATGCTGACACAAAGCAGTTGCAGGCTACAAATTCAACATTTCCAAATTCAATAATCAATGCCAACTACCACCAGGTCCACCTTGAGCAGCAGCAGCAACTTTTCGTGCCACGTATTGAGGCTTCGTCTGAAGTCCATTAGCACCTTCAATCCCCTCTTCTGCTCTCTCATTTTTACAGCTTGGGTTTCTTCTTGGATATGAACAGCTTGGAGCAGCAAACTGAACTGGAACAGATGGATTTCTACCCATCCTCCGCTGCTCAGCCTCAGCTGTCACTGCTACCCCACAGTTGTTATAACGCAATACTGAACCTACAACTTTTCCGGGCCGTGCAGCAATGCCTGAAGCATGTGACAGCAACAGAAAGAAGCAAATTTAAAATCAACTCAACAGAAGCATCTATTAGTAAATTTCACACGTAAAGATGTGTGTACCCAAGAGAGAGGTGTAAGGGATGAAAAACATATGAAGGGTGAGAACAGAATGGTAACTTGGAATTCTTTATGAAACCCAAGATCTATAATATCACCATCCTTTGAAGTACCGAGACATCTACATAATATTGTGTCGGACACAACACTTATCAAGAACTTATTCGACATCTCTCCATTGAGTTACAATTAAAATTTTATTTATTTTTTGTTCGGATACCTCTCCAACATAGTTTGGAAACCCCTTTAACACAACTTGGACACCTTTCTGAGACAACTTGGACATAAGCCGAGAGACAAGAGAGTGAGCTGACAGAAGTAAGGAAGAACACGTTCACACAACCAGAAAAAAACTTATTGGTTCAAATAACAATAGCAAAATTTGGCAAGCCTCAAAACACTAAACTCAACACTCTTTGAAGATAATGCCTGTCGATTAAGGATGAGAAATAGGAAGGAAGAAATGAAGAAGGACGAGCAAAATACATTGTACCATCAGTCATCACACCTTGAATATTATGAGGAGCTTGTAAAGGAAGCCTGGTCATTGGGATACCACCAGTCCTACTCCTATCTATGGCTGGCTTCTCAACTTCTTTGATGCTACACTTGGAGAGATCACCTGCAACTTCAGCCATATTGTGTCTTGAGTTATCTGAATACAATACACATGGCCTGCATTTACAGTCTCAAATCAGCACAGATGGCACATTTCAAGAGTGGCTGAATGGGTGTGTGACAAGATAAAAGAGCAATAGCCTAAGAAGAAAGCTACATTTTCCAGAAATATTATAAAAAATTAGGATACCTGGGTAGTGATGCATGCTGCCTCTCAGGAGGAGTAACAGTTCCGCCTTTTCCATAATGCTCCTCAAGATATGCAAATTGCTTCTTGAAGTGGTCCACAGCACTATTCCAAATGTGTTAGAAAAAAGACGGGAGAAAAAACAAAATCTGAACTGGCACTATATAAAGTAAGTAGGAGTGCAAATTTACAAGCCCATAAAAATATGAAATTGCAGTTAAACTTGGGAAAGTTTTCAAAAGTACCCATTAACAAAAGTATCCAGAGGAAATGCTTAAGAAGCTTGAGAATCTAGAGAAGAACAACTTACGCAGAAGTTGGATGGAGAAAAAAAAATGCTTTTATCTCAGAAGATGTTGGATGGACAGGATGGTTCAATAGTAATGATCAGAATCTCTCTTATGTTAAACAGTGAGTTCATTAGAAGAAAGGGAAAATGCAGAACTAGAAGTGGAGAAGAAGAAGATAAACCCTCCAAACTTCTATTTATAAAATGAATTAAAGGGTAAAACAAAAATGTTGATCAAATTTATCAAGTGTTATTGTTTAATAACAATATCAGGAGAAATATCCAACACTATTAAATTTACAGATCCCAACAGAAAGTGTTCAAACTCATGCAAAAGAATAAGTAAAACAGAAATTTTGGTGCAGGTTTGGACAATAATACCTTGGATACATGAATCCTGTTGGCTCTTCTCCCTCTAGATGTTCTTTTAACATCTTCGGATGGTACTCCAAAGTCTCTCGGTATATAAGCTCTCTCACATCTTCCTTTGTTATCCTACATCTCTCAAATTCAAATTCCATCTTTGTAACTGGCTGAGCAGAAGGCTCTCTCTCAACCTTGGCCAAGCCTTTAAAATATGGATCTGCTAGAGCCTAATGATATCATACACAATATTCCCATTAAAACTAAACATGATGGGGGGAAAGTGAACTACAGATGGATGGAAAATTCAACCTCTTCAGCAGTAGGTCGATCCTTAGGTTCAAATGCCAGCATTCTTTCTAATACACGAAGAGCAAGCGGATCTACATTAGGAAACTTTTGGGAGAAAGGAACTGGCTTCTTCTTACGCATGCTGCTCAAGTACCTCCGAGCTTTCTCATTTCGTATCTGTTAATATACTGCCAAGGTTGTATTAAGTAACAAAATTAAGCACACAAATTTGCTAGAAGGATGGACAATTGAACAACAGACCCTAGCAATGGCTTCAGGTGATGGTGTTCCAAGAAAATCAGTCATGATGTCCAATTGATGGACAACATTCTTCCCAGGGAAAAGAGGCTTTCCAGTTAAAAGTTCTGCAAAAATGCAGCCAATGCTCCATATATCTATAGCTGGGGTATACTGAAAGAAAAAAGTTTATAACATTTATTATCCATCTTCATTTCATGAACACAAGCAACTTAATTTTTTTATTTGACTACAAAATAACCGGTACAAACCAATACTGATATAAGTGTGCAACCAAACATTTTCAACTGGAACTTATTAGCATGTGAAACAAACATTGATAGGTGTCATAGAGGGATAAAATAACCTAGTGTCAACACAGGTTCTTTTGTATGTTATAACTTCAACCCTTATAAGTTGTTAACAGCAGTTTGAAAAAAAACAACCTTCAATAATTTTATTAAAAAAAAAAAAAAAGACAAGTTTGTACGAGCAAGAACTATAGCATGGAATCAACATTACAGAAGAAGATGATGATGATGATGATAGTAATAATAATACAAAGCACAAAATTCGAAGAGATGCATGTAATGGTGGCATATTTGCTTGAAGAAGTGTGGGGGGGGGGGGGGGTGTGGAACAATGTGCTCAAACTTTTAGATTTCAAGCAGTGATAAATATATGAGATAAAGAGAGCAGTGATCCAGGATAAAAGCGGTAACAGATATTGAACCTTGGAGAAAAAGGATCCACACAATTCAGGAGCTCTATACCACCTTGTTGCAACGTAATCCTGTGAGGAAAACAAGTGGGAAAAAATGCATGATGACCATAGAAGGAGAGCTATACTGAAGCTATTTCAGAGGAGAAAAGGTTTCTTACTGTCCAAAATATAGCAGTTGGCGTATCATTGAAAGCCACTCTAGCAAGACCAAAGTCACAAATCTTCAGCTTGCAGTCAGCATTTGCTAAAATATTTTTCGGCTTTAGATCTCGGTGAAAAACATTTGCTACAAGCCCATTAGAAAGTTTAAAATCAGTCATAATGATCACGTGATTTAGCAACTATTAACCACGAAAAATCTACATTAGGAAATCTAAAAACAAAACTAGCTAAATATAAAGATCATAACCTGTGTGTATATACTTCAAGCCTCGAAGAAGCTGATAGAGAAAAAACTGGTAATGCTCTGGAGTTAAATCATCATTTGCTTTGATGACCTGATGTAAATCAGATTCCATTAGTTCAAAAACAACATATATGTCTTTGAATTCCCTTCTAGAAGGAGGCAACAAAATATGCTTGATCTCCACAATATCAGGATGGCGTAAGAGTCTAAGAAGCTTGATCTCACGAAGAATGCGGGTGGCATCAGAAACATGTTCAAATATGTCATTGATTTTCTTTATTGCAACCTTTTCACCGGTGTGTGTATCATATGCAGAGCAAACAACACCATAGCTTCCTTTACCAATTACTTCCTCTATTCTGTATCTACTCCCTTCGCCATATTCTGTAAAAAAGTCTACATCTATAGATGACTGCATAACACAACAAATTAGACATTGTGAATATACCAAACAAGGCCAACGTCTTGATTTAAATGAGCTGCAACACATTTGAGGCTCCATGTCCCCAAGATATATAGGAAACCAGAATGAGCTATTATATAATTTATACAAGAAAGTTGCAAGCTCAGCATCTAAAGTTTGTGTCCATCCACAAACAGAAGAGAATAAAGCTAGCTAACAACTTTTAGACAATGAATATCACTGCAGTTAATTGTATTGAGTTTTATAAAATCAACTAGAGCTTATTAGACCCATTCCTCTAACAATAATGGAAATTCTTTTTTCTAGAGCTTTTAAATCCAATATTTTGAATTTATTAAAGTATAATTGAATTTATAAGGATAAAAAAGAAAACAAATCAAATAGAATCTCTATTTGTTGCAAGCAGATTTCACAAAACTATTCATGAAAGCATAAATTCAAGTACACCCAGTTAAAATGTAACAAGGAAAAAGTAAAAGGAAAACTAAAACTAACTACAAAACAAAACACAGCCTATACTTATTCTAGTTGTACTAACAAGTATCCAAAATATTGCACATGGATTCTTGAATTTAGTAAAATTTTAAAATTCAAATTAAGATAAAAAGAATGTTTAAAATTATTATAAAGTAGATATGCATAATTTAATCAAATAAATTGGAATTTGAAAAGTAGAGAGAGAGAGAGAGAGAAGTTAGGAATAACAAACGTCTTTTTTAAAGAGAGAATAAACTAAGAGATTAAGTTAATTTCCAGAAAATGTATTCTAATTTTAAATATATATATATATATATATATATATATATATGTATCTATATATATGTGTGTGTGTGTCTATATATATATATTGATGGTTGTTTAAAAATAACCATTGAATCTTGTTCATGAAAATTCAATGTTTAATTAAGCACCATGATCATGATCCTCACTTGCAAACAACCACAAAAAGCAAGTGTAACATTGTTGGAAGAAAGGAAAGTTTGAAGAAAAAAGGGAAGCTCAAAATGAACTGAGAGTATTATCCGTAAAAGGAAAGTTAGAAGAATAAGAACTACAAAGTCTTATCTAATTTTATGCTTGTTTCATTTTACATCCACGTAAAACCAAAATCACATTGTTGCTATCTAATTTAACGTAGCAGCAGCTTTGTATAGCTTCTGAGAACTGTCATTTACGAATGTATACAGTAGTGGACAATTAACCAAACATTATGTAAATGAGATTAGCTACATAGACCACATGACGTCATTATTCTCAATCAAAAACCAAACTCCACCAATAGTCTCATGACTTGTAGCAAGCCCGGGTAAAGGATGAGGGTTGTATTACATGCAATGTGAAACTTGTTGAAACCTTCACATAAAAGGGAAGTCAAAGCAGAAAAATAACGATAGGTTATTTGGAGTACATAAGTCCCATGTATTTGATGAAGAAAGATAGAATGTTACGAGATTATCTCACTTTCAAGAGTAAGGATTCTAATTTACTATATAACAGTAGATCATTCCACATGCTGTTTCATGAAAAAAGTTTCCTGGTTTTTGTAATATTTAAACTGACATGAACAGTGAAACAATTTCTTTATTTTTTAAAGAATCCATTGGGAATTTTGCAATCGTTTGGTCATAGGGTAGGGGGAAAAAATCTTTATGCAGGATCTCTCACAAACCAAAGTAACTCTCGGAACCAGACAGAATGTCTCACGTACAATACAGTCAAAATTGAAAGAGATTCAAAAAAAGAAAAAAAAAGTTTTCAGAGCCTGGGACCAAACAATACTAGAAGATATGAAAGAACAAAATCTCAATACCAAGAGTACAAATCCTATCCAAACTACATAAAGATGCAGAAATCAGTACAAACAAGGAACAATCATTGTGTTCAATACCCATTACCCACCTAAAATATACCCACGAACATAATCCAACAATGCAACACAAACACACATCTACACAAAGTGTGCACGTATGTTGATCGAGTAACTTTACCTTTTTTCTCTGATCATGTGGCATCTTGGCAACTAAGCATAAAACTCTTCAATGATCCTACAACCCCAACCGCGACTCAAATTCAGATCACCAAACTCCCACTTCCTGTTAATTTAACACCGCACTAGAATCCCCTGATCTCGAGGGGTGATCAAAAAGCAATAATCAAAAAAGGTGCAAAAAGAAAATTGGATAAATTAAGGAGTAAAAAATAAAGAACTTTAGAGCTCAATGATATGAAGACAAGGCCAGTAAAATTTGGCGGCTAAAAACTACACTTCACAGCACTGAGTAAGAGACGGAGAATTCAGAAGAGGAAACAAGAACAACATAGACAATTTGGCGGAAGTACCAAAATATAGTTGTAAATGCCCCAGATACAGATCACGTTGGAGAATAAGTTATTCTAATGAATTGAGCTGCGAATAAGCGGAAAAAACTAATCTTGTGGCGATGATCACTAACGGGGCTGAAGGGTATGAATAAAAAATAATAAACAGAGGCAGAGAGAAAAAAGGAAATGGTAGCGAATATGATTCGTTTTGAGAGAAAGCGGGGAATTGAAGAAGCGGATTCTAGAGATTGGAATGGAGAAGTGAGAGTGGGAAAAGGAAAGGAAAGGTTTTAGATCTCAGAGAGAGAGTCCCAGAGACACAGAGAACATGTAATGTAGTTGAAGTTGAAGAAGGGTCTGGCGTGGTGACTCTGTAAGTTCAGGAACAGAGAGACAAGCTCGTCATAAAGGGAACAAGACTGGGATATAATAATAATAATAATTTATAATCTATAATATTAATAAAAAATATATTGGTGTTATTGTTTTTATACTTCTTTACCCTTAAATTAAAGAGAATACTCTCAAACTTCTTTATCAATTTTTCAGACAATTATGTCTTTATAACATTTTTAAAATGACGAAAAATTTAATCTACTTTTATTTTTGTATTAATAGTTTTTTTTTTTTTTTTTACATTGGAGACTGTTCTTGGATAAGGCCTTAGGTGGAAGAGAGATTGGGTGAATTCATAATTGATAATAATTGAGACATGACTGACTCATTTATGATTATTAATAAAGGACGCAGAAGAGAAAGTAACATGAAAATAATTTGAGAATTTGAAACCGGATAAATAATAAAAGGAAAAATATTGCGAATAGTTACTGGAACCTGTTCGCTTGGTATGAGATTTAGGAGTGAAGACCTAAGATCCACATCATTTCTTTTCCTCTCCAACTAGAAATCCTAATTTGCAGGTAATCACTGGAAAAAGCAAAAAATATTGCGGGTAATCACTTGTGCATTACATTATGAGTTCAAATAGCATATTCTTCCTAATTTTCTCAAAAACTTAGTTTTTCCAAAATCCTAGTTGTAAAACTTATGGAGAAACATACCTCAACACTTGTTACAAATGTTAAGAATATCTTTTTGTCTAAACTTAAGTTCTTTGACTCTTTTGTTCCATAAATATTTTACATATTATGTTAATTTTTTTAAACATAATTCATACAATATTTTAAAATTAATAATTAATGGTTAATTTATACTCTTAGAACATGATTTCTACTTAAGTTTAATATAATTTGAAAAAATAATCTAAAAATTAAATTAAATAAACAATAAAATTTGATTAAAACATACACCTATTCATATCTTAGATATTATCATAATAACATATATTAAAGTAAGAATTTATAAATATTTTTTTAATTGATAAAAATGTATAACTCTTTTTTTTTAATATACTCTTTTATAAGTAAAGTGATATTTTTAATCATAATTTTATATTCAAGTTAAAAGTATTCTTAGTTAAAGTATACAATTATTAAATCATTTACTAACGACTTTTAACTTGTTATTTAGTTATAATTTAGATAAAATTTAATATTTTAAAATAATTTTAGTGTCATTTAATTTATTTCATATCAATTGATTTATGTTGTTATAAAGTGTAAGCCAGTTCTCCTTATTTTTTTTAAAAAAAATATAATATAATAACAAGAATATTTGTAACTCAACCTAAAAAATCTATCCTTAAACCAAATATCAACTAATCATAGTAGCATTCATGAAGTCACGTATGCCATATATATACAAGATTCACATTATGCAAGGTGCTATCAATGATGACACCCAAACCCTTCCAAATCCTTTTTCAGTTCCCTACTTGTGGGAGATATTATATCTCCTACTCTTAGTTGAGGTCGGGGGAATAACGTGTTTAAAGTTGAAACTTCTAACCTTGTTTCATATGTTTGTTCTTTTGAATAGGCTAAACTAGAAAAATAGAAAGAGGACCAAGTGTTCCTTTCCAGCATATTCGTTGTAGATGTGAGCTGTGGGTAGAAAGGCTTTACATTTTGAAGTAGACAGGAAGACACGTTGTCATGTGATGCTTTTCAATATTTTAAGATAAGACGGTAGCAGTTTTGTATCCCTTCCTCTTATGCACATGTAGAGAACATGCATTTGGGTGCCTTCAATTGAAAATACCATTTACGTTGGTTTGTTTGAAATTAATTAAATTAGATAAAACTGAGTTTTAATTGTTGATATTATTTAAAAATTATATATAGACTAATTTAAGATGTGAATTCTATATTAAAATGTGTTCTTGATCTGAATTATGTCAAATTTGACACAAGTAAAATTTTAAATAATTATCAGTTAGTAATTTATCTGATTATAAACTACAGACTTGATGAAGGATTATTAATTTATTATTTTGAACTTGAATTACGTTAATTCAAAAGAATTAAGTGTTAGATGAGTATCAAGTATCGAAATGTAAGGCTAGTTAAATAGACGATTTTTCTCAACTTCAAACTCATTTTTAAGTCACATTAAGTGTGGTGAGATTAATTGATGACTCACTAGTAGAAATGAATGAGAAAATATAGTCTATTTCTTTAGAGTTGAAGTGACAGATTAATTTACTAAAACTTAGGAATGATAATGGAGCCCTGTCCCGTAAAAGGTAGGGCGAGTTCGAGTTTAGGTTTTAAAGATGTGATTCAAAACTCATTCCATTTGTAATGACCTGAACAAACTGTAGTGAGAAGAATTCAAAGATTGTATAAATATAAAATTATATAGTTGAGCGTGCTTGACTTATAATAGTTTAGGAATAAGTGACCTTTTGAAAATTTTTTCATAAGATGTGTGAGTGAGGATAAAATATGCTAAAAAGTCTTATATTACTTTGTGGGGTTAGTCGTTAATCCTAAAAAGTGGATGAGCATCTCATAAAAGGTTATCTATGGAAGATTTTGATCAGTGAAAGATTCTGACTAATGAAAAATTGTGTAAAGTGTCACCCTGTAAAGTAAAGTGGAACCGTTGACATGTCATATCTGAGGGATGTTACACCATCTCCATCGAATTTTATCGGATTCAGATAAACCCACAAGGACCCATCACAATTTTTTTTGAATTTTAATTTACTTATAAATTTTAAATAAATTAAATTATAAGTTAATAATTATGTTACAATATATAATAATAATAATAATAATAATAATAATAATAATTAAGAAATAACTCATAAAATAGAAATTTAAGAATTAAATTACATTTTTAATTAAATGTATAGTTTTAAGTTTGTTACTTAGTCATCTTAGTAATTTGAATTATTTAATTATTAAAAGAATTAATTTCTATTTTAATATTTATAAAAATTTTAAATTTAACTTTAATTTTTATATTTATATATTTATGTATATATATATATTTCGCAAAAAAAAAATAGTGTGATGGGTATGAGATGAGGTAGAAAATTACATACCTGAACCCAATTTTTCAAGTCGAGAAAAATTTGTACTTAATCAAAGTAGGATTTCCATGTCAAAATTGGATTGGGGTCCAATGGGTACTCATGGGTACAAGTTTAGTTATCATACCTTAATTGACAACAAAAATGTTAACTCATTTCTATTTAATACAATACTTAATTTATTTTATATAAAATGTACATATTATTTCTTAATTATATAAAAATATAAATTTATTTAGACATTAAATAATATAGAAGAGTATGAGACTAAATTTCCTCAAAAAAAAGTATGAGACTAAATTAAGTAGTTGAACATGTCCTCTCCCAAATAATTAATTTATCAAATTGGCTAGTTAGGCAAGACGAGAATAAGATAGATTAGCAGATTAAATTACCTTATTTACTTTATATTTTTTTGACAGTTAAGTAATTAGTTGACTTAATTTATGACATCAACTTACTTTATCATCTATGATGACAAGTTAATATCTCATGATATGATTATAAGCTATTGGCGTAGAAAATTGTTGTTTTGGACCAAACTCAATACAAGTTAAAAATAATAATAAACAATAAACTTAGTTAAATAGATTTTGTAACAACTAAAACACGCCTAAAAGTCCTTACCAATTGAGAGACAATTGAAAGATCAACTGTATTTTCTACAAATATGATAGTCTTATTATATTCTAATTAATGAATTTTTATCTTAACAATAAAACTAGATTTAAAAGCATTAAGATAAGATAAAAATTTTTCGCTTTCCTTGTCTAAATATATTATATTATATTTTAAAGATAAAAGTAAATATAATAAGTATTAATTTACAAAATATATATCAATATGTATTATATAATATTAATTTATATAAAATTATATATTATAGAGTATAAAATGATTTATAATATATATTATAAAATTTGTATTTGATATTTTCTCTTATATATAATTATAATAAGATTGACATGTAAATTTAAAGTATATTATTAATTAAAATACAACCTTTTTATTTAACATGTAAAATATTTTATACTAATTTATAAAAAGACACATTAAGTTTATTTCTTAGGGATATTTTTGAAAAAAAAAGTTAAAAATTTAATATATTGGTAAAAGTTGGGAGTGTAAATAGCAATTCCCTAAAAACTGTACAATAAGGCCCAAAAGGTTTGAAGCTCCTAAACCCTAGATACATACTCTGAGCCTGAGTTTCTTATTTCCGTACTGTTCAGTTCTTGACGAAAAGCACGGGAGCCGCCGTTTCCTGAGGCATCTCTTCTCTTCTGTGTTGGTAAGAATAACATTATTCTCTCCCTTCGTAAAAAGTGATTCCATTAGAGTCTGATTAAGTTTATGTGATATAGTTGATTGATTCTTATTCAAATTTGCGTGTCAGCGACTATGGTTAGGGTTAGTGTGTTGAATGATGCTCTCAAGAGCATGTACAATGCTGAGAAAAGAGGGAAGCGTCAAGTTATGATTAGGCCATCCTCCAAAGTCATTATCAAATTCCTTTTGGTGATGCAAAAGCATGGTATCTTTCAATAATCAAAGTTTTTTTCGGTTTAATTATTTAGTCTATGTATTAAATTATTGTGTGTTTGATCCTTAAAATGTAGGATACATTGGAGAGTTTGAATATGTCGATGACCACAGGGCTGGTAAAATCGTGGTTGAATTGAATGGCAGATTGAACAAGTGTGGGGTTATTAGTCCGCGTTTTGATGTGGGTGTCAAAGAGATTGAAGGTTGGACTGCTAGGCTTCTTCCCTCAAGACAGGTCTGTTTAAGTGTCTTTTTCCTTTTGTTTCATACCCTTCTTGCCATGTTCTTGCCATGTTCTTATAAGTGTATTTTCATGTGTTGCCTTCGTTCTAAATTATTTGAGAACTGTGACCCTTTGTATAAAGGGTTATCATGACATTATATTGAATATTTTACTTTAAAGTTTAGGAATTTTATGTAAGGATTTATTAATGTTAAGGTCTCTTGATTATATGGTTGATTTATTTTCAGCTCCACTTATCCCAGCTTTGGATTTACACTAGTTATGAAGTTTTGTTATATTATATTGATCAACTGTAGAACTATCCATTATATGTGATTGATCACTATTATATGTTGAATGTAAATGGTTCCTCCATGTATACCTTACCTTTTTGATGTACACTAATTATGCAGTTTGGGTATATTGTATTGACTACCTCGGCTGGCATCATGGATCATGAGGAGGCTAGGAGAAAGAATGTCGGTGGTAAGGTCTTGGGCTTCTTCTACTAGTTTATTTTTATTGAGGATGAAAGTGATTTTAATTTTGAGATTTGTCGTTGTAATTGGAAATATGCTAGCGTCCAGTAATATCAAGCATAATAAGAGCTGTTTTATGGTTCTTTATTTTGTTTGCAAAATCAAGTTGGTAACTATTACTTTCCCATTCATTTCTTTATCATTATTCATTATTCAAAATGTACTGCACAAGTTATTTTAATCGATAAGAACTTTGATTAGAAAGTGGGAACATCATAGTGGAAGCAGAGGGATGTTCGAGTTATAGTTTGATATTGCATTGAATATATCAATTCTGAAATCAGTGGATATTGGCTTTCAGAAAAGAATTTTTGTTAAAAAAATATTAAATTTATACAGATTTTATTTTTTTTTATCAATAAGAATTGAAAATCCTCCCGATACTGTATTCAGAACCAGGGGATTTCAAACCACTCACTCACACTCTCACAGTACTGTATTTGAATTTTTTGATAGTAGGAATTTTTTCATACTATTCTAATTCTGTATCCTCTCGAATTCACACATACAAAAATCCTGGCACTCATTGAAAGTTCAATATCTATTTATTGATTTACTATAAAAAGAAATAATTTAATTTAATATCATTAATGTTAATGTTCGAAGTATAATTCGGAGACTTCCTCTTTAACCATTTAATAAAGAGACACTCCAATGAGGCAATAAATTATCAATTAGTTAATGAAATCATCTGTTAGTTAGATAACCGAGCATTTAAAGCATGTTAGGAATATGACTCTAGAATATTTGTATGAAAAAAATTGTTTAAAGGATAAATATATACCTCGGTAGTCTCTTTACATTGAACGAATTATTCTCTTATTGAAAGATAGATATATTAATTATTATAATTTTTGGCATAACATAATCAAAAACTGATTCTAGTAGTAAGAATATGCATCCTTTGTAAGAGTTGTGGATGAACAGCGTGTATGGATACACTTATGGATTCACAATTAAGGCGAATTTTTACATCTCGCTCGAAGGAACTGTAGTTCATACTTGATTATTTACAATCTGATCACAGAAAAAGTATGGTACTATGTAGTTCATACATGGTTATTTACAATCTGATCACAGAAGTATTTACATTATTAGTCTGTATTATTTTAATTCAAATGTTTTTCAAGTAACTGTAATTTTATAGTATGTTTGGATGATGAATTTAAATGGAGTAATTCATCTATTTTGAAAATTTTCAAATTCTTAAAGTGAAATATTTTGTTTGGATAGAGAATTTATAAAGAATTTAAAATTTAAATAATTGTAAAATTTCTTAAAATAGTAAAATTTTAAATTTTTCTAAAAAGTAAGAATTTAAAATTTCTTATTTTTTTTCTTATTTCACTTACATATTTTATGTTATCTCTTATTTCTTTATATTTTTAATTATTGAATATTTAAAAGTATTTTTAAAATTATAAAATATTATTTTTAAAATTATTAAATATTTAAAAATCAGTTAGTATTTATTTTTATAAAATTTAATTTAAAAATTTCAACATATAAATATAGTTTTAAAATTAATTTTATCATAATAGAATCAAATTATCATATTCAACCTAATAATTTAAAATTTAAAAAATTTAAATTAACTTATTCAAACAAAATATTTAAAAAATAATAGAAATTAAAATTAAAGTAATTTAAATGTCAAGAATTAAATTTTTTCATCCAAATACAAGTCTTGATTGTCTATATATAGTCATAATTTATTAAAATTTGATTAATATTATTATTATTATTAATAAACAAGATGTCTCATGACCTATGTAGCACTTTGCGGATTAGACACAACACGTAGATACAACATGAACACAGATATACATATAATATATAATATAAATAATTTGACAATAACTTATTAAGTCTCAACATTATTAAGAAGCATTATAGTTTACAATATATTTTTTTTAAATCTTGAATTCTCTTTTCTTTGTTTCTATTTATATCAAGATTTATTATTATTATTTTTTTAAATTTCAAAATTTTCTTTTTTATTTCTATTTTTATTGATATATATATATATATATATATTTATTTATTTAAAAAATCTCAAATTTGATCATATATCTACAATAGAGACATATTCAATTTATGTAGCGACATATGTAGAAGCATCTATGATGTGTTCACTTCAAAAAGAGTATCGGATTTGGGAACATGATTGTCTCATACTATATCCCTGCAACATAGATCTCCACTATTAAGTCTCAAATTCAAATGAAATTGGACTCTACCTTAAGAGAAGCAAAAATCTCATTAAAAATAATCAATCAATTTTTTTTCTTCATAAATCTCATCTCATTGACTGACAGTTTTAAAGTCTTTTCTTTTTACCTACGCTTCCAACATTTGCATTATTATAAGCCTCGATCTAGATTTATTTACAAAATTATCTTTCACTATAGAACCTAATTTACACTGCCTTTTGTGGTCCCTTACTTTAGGGTAAATTGTTTTTATTGTTTAAAATATTTATTTTAGTATTTTAATAATAAAATTTGACTGTTTGAGTTGTTTGTCTATTTATCTTTTTTTTTTTTAATATTTTACGTTTTTAACTAATTTTGACTCTATGATTTTGATGATCATATAATTTTGGCATTTTGAATGAGTAAATAAATATTTTCTCAACATGATAAATTATACATTGTAGTTAAATTTGATCGCGTGTCAACTTTTTAGAATTTATCAAGGCGTATAAAGCATTGTTTGGCCAAATGTACCATTCAAAATAAAGCCATATACACACTAAAGTAGGAAAAGGAATAATCAAAATTTTGTTCCATTAGAATGGACATTCGAGAAATAAAAGTCATCATTATCTATTAACCTTTAATTGAATCTGATAATGATAACTTTCATTGTTGTATTTATCATTAGTAATTTTTTATATATTAAAAATGCAAGTGTCAAATAAATCTTAATTCAATGATAAAAAAGTAATTACAATGTATAATTATTATGTTAAAAAAATTATTTCTTTACTAATTCAAAACGTCAAAATCATACCATCATCTAAATCTTACAAGAAAAAAAATAGTTAAAAAAATCAAAAAATGTGAGAAAAAAGATAGAAAACAAATAAAAAAAATAAAAAAATTATCATTAAAAATATCAACACTCATTCTCTTCCTAAGCTTTCAAATTAAATTCTAGTCAAACACTTAAGGGTGTGTTCAAGAACTTATTTGTATTAATGCAAACGAGAATTTATACCTTTCAATGCACTAAATTAAAAAAAAATTTGTCTTTTCCTTCCAACATGGATTTAAAAAACTTATGGTAAATCAAATGTGTACCAAGTCGATTTGTGTTAGAGGTATAACTTGTTCTTGTTTGTTAACATAGAATAAGATATGTGGTGAAGATAAGATATGATAAAAATAAGATGAATTTTATCTTATTTAGTAGTATTATTAGAAATTAACAAAATTTAACATTCACATTGAGACAATGTAAAGCGCGAATCTAATAATGTATTTGAGAAAATACAATCTAATTAAAAATTATTGAATAGTATAATAATTAATAAAATTTATACAAATGTAATTTGATATCTTTTTATGTTTATTTATTATATTATGTTTTGTATTTGACCAATGAGATATAATATAAATCATATTCAAATAATAATATTTATTTCATTAAAATTAAATAAAAAATTAAAAATAAATTTTATTTTAATCGTTTAAAATTTCAAATTAACAAAATATATATAATTTTAGCTTTAATATACAAAATTACTTTTTATTTATATAATTACTTAATATATATATATATATACACAATATTTTTGAAATTATAATTATTATTCAAATAAAAGGCATTAATTAAAGTATAATAATTGACTAAATTATTTAACTAAGAGTAATTAAAACCTTAATCGTAAAATCTGTAAAAAAAGAACAACAACAGCATCCAACCAACCTTTAAAACTATTATAATTGATCTGGCTCGGATTTGAGTAGGAAGGAAAAATAAATAAACTTGTTTGAAACAATTTAATTAATTCGGATTGTCGAATGATAAAACATTTTTTAAAAATAAAATTATCTATCCTCTTTTGTCTAAAATGAAACTGGCTAGTTTTTATTAAAGCAGAGAAGAATTAAAGGAAAAAGGATTAAAAAGATAAAAAATAAAATTTTTTTTTTTACTATAATAGAAATAAAAAGAATATTTTTATGGATGAAAAATAAATTATATAAATACTTTTAGACTGTATAAAAAAACATTAACCTTAAGAAATATAAAACATTTTTTTATATAAAAGTATACACTGATAATGTAAATATTTTCTTACTCTTTCATTCAGAAATCGTAGTTCGTTAATTTTGACAATAATTATATCAAAACTAAAATTAACACAAACTAATTTTTAATTGACTAATTGTAAATTAATTGATGATATAAGATAAAATCTTTTCCAAATGACACAATATGATAAAAAATGCTTACACCCTAACATAAACCTAAACCTAAACCTAAACGTAAACCTAAACCTCGTGTCTCTTGTGGCTATCGCAGAGGAAAAAGGAGAAGGATGGAGGAGATGCTTCTGCCGTGGGAATTGATAATTGAAATCCTGTTGAGGTTGCCGGTGAAGTCTCTTATCCATTTCAAAACAGTGTGTAAGTCATGGCTTACTCTCATCTCTGATCCCCACTTTGCAAGCTCACATTTTGAACTGGCTGCTGCATGCACAGAGAGACTTGTCTTCGTATCGCTAGCCTTATCGTTACCTTCTGTTCCAGAATTCCGAACCATAGACTTCAATGCACATCTTTTGGATGATTCTGCTTCTCCTACATTTAAAAACATGTTTTATCGTCCCAGACCCTATGATGATATTGAATTCCTAGGTTCCTGCAGAGGGTTTTTGCTTTTGGAGTTGAATGGTATTTTCTGCGTGTGGAATCCATCTACAGGGGCCTACAAATTTGTACATCCGTCACCTGTTGTTACGGGTCGTCGCAAGTTTTTTGCATTTCGTGGTTTTGGATATGACCCATCAACAGATGACTATTTGGTGGTTCAGGTGTACCACAACAAACTCTCGGGTGATTATGCAACCCTCGTGGACTACTTTTCGATCAAAACTAATTCATGGAAAGAAATTGGTGCTACCCCTTTGAATTATAGGCAATGCTTTTCTTATAGGAATAGTACAGCCGGGTGCTTCTTGAATGGTGCTATTCATTGGTTGGCTGTTTGTTATGATGCATCAATCCATGTTATTGCAGCCTTTGATTTGACGGAAAGGAGTTTGTCACATATACCTCTGCCTCTTAATTTTGAGCACCACGACTTTAATCCAAGTTTTTTGAGGATACTTGGAGGATCCCTCAACCTGTGCTCTCTGGGAAGAGACTCATTGGAAATATGGATGATGAAAGAATACAAAGTGAAGTCATCGTGGACTAAGACTGTTGTTATGCCTATCGATGCCCTTCCAACTGGGTTGTTTTTTCCAATATGCTATACAAAAAGTGGTGATATTGTTGGAACAAATGCCGGAGCTAGATTGACAAAATGTGATGTCAATGGAGTACTGCTAGAGCATCGATTCTATCGTACTGGTTCATCTGGATCCAAGGTGGCTGTGTATAAAGAGTCTCTACTTTCACTCCCTTGTGATACCAAGCAAGCTGGAGAAGATGATTAACAACAAGGAACAAAAATTAGGTTGTGACATATTTTATTGGTAGTTATACTAAAGTTTTTTATGCCTTTCCCGGTTTCCCATTAGGGTGACTGGAATTGTGCAAGACGGCACATCAATATCAGTTTTTTTACTTGCCTTTGCCTTTGGTATGAATCGTGATAGTTAAAGTTTTGGTATGTGCTAACTTCATTAATTAGTAAGATGATGAACAATCTTTAAACTAGTACAAAGCAAATTTTAGCCACCCATAATAGTGAATTTATTGCATTGGTAGCATGAAGCATGATATGCCGCCGAATGTTAAATTGGGACAATCAGTCGATAAGTGATGACACTATTGATATGCACCGGATATTTTACAATTAATGATGTCTAATTTAGTCCAAGCTACATGACAACATTTGGCGAAGTTAATATTTTTCATTCTTGTTCTAAGCTTGATATGTTGTTAATTGTGTGTTTACCTGAGAATTTGCACCATTTGCTTCAAGTAGTAATATAATTGTGTATTTACCTGAGAATGTTGTGTTTGCTTGGTTGATAGATCAAGAGGATGTCTTGTATTCTCTTTTGTTTGCTTCCCCAACCTAATGGACATTCTCTGTCCAATTGTAGCCTGCATTTCATTCAGAATCTGTCATATGCGAAACCTATTATTGTCAATCTCATGATTGATCTTGTAGCTGTCCCTGACTAATGACTCGAGATTTGATTGTCATTGTTGTATAAGCTTTATTTTTCTAAGTTGAAATGACTATTTTTAATGTGCTTCCAATTTGTTTCGATTTGACATATTATTCTGCTTGCATTCATAGGTCAAATTAAACCGGGTGGTGATCTGCATAGTGAACACAAGCGATTAATTCAAAAGCATGCTACTTCCCCCTCATGTTCTGGACGTGGCATATAGAAGACGCTAGAGGATGGTATTGCAAATATTCTGGTCTAAGAAATTGTGGGTCTAAATATGAAGATTGTGTTAAGTGATAGATAGATAGATGGATTTTTTCCAACTTGTCTCACCACCTAAATTAAAAAGGACGAGTAACGCAACATTTTTTAATTAACTTCGTGTGTGTGCAGGTTTCGAATGATAACAAAATAATATCATAAGCAATTCATCAGGATAGCATAAATTAGTATGATTTAGTTTAAATATAATTAAAAAAATTAAATTCTTAGTTTTATTTAATATCGTTCACAAAATATATTTTAAATTAATGAAACTACAAATGTAAAATAGACTTAACAACCACAATTATTAATGTAATTGTTTTTTTAATATATATATATATATATATATTCCTTATATATAAATGCTTATTCTTTAAATAATAATAATAATTATATATAATTATTATTATTAT